ATCATCCCTGCCTGAGCTGCACCTCCGAGCTCCTTTGTCCATCTGTCCCAGCACCCAGTGGGGTCAGCCCCACGGCTTCCTCCTCTCTGTGTCTGTCCATCCATCCTGGTGCCCTTCAGCTGCTCCCATGGGATTCCCTTTCTCCATCCACACTGGGGGTCCCTGTGTTCTTTGCCTCCCCTCATTGGGGTGCTATGGGTTCCTCAGGAGCACACACCCCATAGCCCCCAGAGCAGGAAAGCTGCTTCCTGGGACCCACATCCCTGTTTGATCCCTGTTTGATCCCGGTCTGTCCTCAGCGGGAGCTGCGGGAGCAGCTCCAAGGGCTGCAGGAGAGTGAACGCGGCCACACGGAAGCTCTGCACGTCCTGCGGCGGCAGCTGGCCGAGACCAAGGTAGGAGCCACCCCAGCGCCTGCATCCCAACCCACAGCCCTTCCCTGCACCCCAGAGACCCCAAACCCCCCCATTCCATGGGGCTGCTACCCCAGAACCCACCGCAGTGCGATGAAGCCCATCAGGCTGCTGATCCCAAACAGGGAACAAAAGATGCTCCCTTCAGGGCTGCTTTTAGTTGTCTTTTTAACTCATTTGTAGTTTGTATTCCATAGAACCATGGAAACATGGAATGGTTTGGGTTGGAAGGGAGCTTAAATCCCATCCAGCTCCAACCCCTGCCACAGGCAGGGACCCCTTCCACTGGAGCAGCTTGCTCCAAGCCCCTGTGTCCAACCTGGCCTTGAGCACTGCCAGGGATGGGGCAGCCACAGCTTCTCTGGGCACCCTGTGCCAGCGCCTCAGCACCCTCACAGGGAAGAGCTTCTCCCTTATCTCCAACCCTATTTAAACCCTTGATCTCCTTGCTCACCTTTTGGTGAGCTTTGGTCCTCTCCATCCCCACCAGCACCATGGTTTAGCTTTAGGGTGAAACACCCACCCGTGGAGCCCCTGGGGTTGAGTTAACGGTGCTGTAAGGGTCTCTTTGGGGGATCAAAGCCTCATGGGGAAGGGGGATCCTGACCCTTCCACCCCCCCCAAGTCCTCAGCCAAGAGCCTGCGGGCGACCATCGGGGAGGCCTTTGAGCGGCTGCACCGGCTGCTGCGGGAGCGGCAGAAGGCGATGCTGGAGGAGCTGGAGGCCGACACGGCCCGGACCATCACCGACATCGAGCAGAAGATGCAGCGCTGCAGCCAGCAGCTGCGCAGGGTGCAGGAGGGCAGCCAGATCCTGCAGGAGCGCCTGGCTGAGGCCGACAAACACCTCTTCCTGGCTGGAGTCGCATCCCTTTCCGAGAGGTGGGTGATGCCAAAGGGATGCTGTGGTCCTGTCCCTGTCCCCCTCCGACCCCTGCATCCTCATGCTCCATCGCATCGCTCCTTCGCAGGCTCAAAGGGAAGATCCAGGAGACCAACCTGACCTATGAGGACTTCCCCACCTCCAAGTACATGGGGCCGCTGCAGTACACCATCTGGAAATCGCTGTTCCAGGATATCCATCCTGGTGAGGGCATGGGAGGGGATGGATGAAGGGTTCGGGGGGGGCTGGGGAGGGATGGGGATGGGAATGGCACTGGGGAGAGATGAGGGTGGGAATGGCATTGGTGAGGGATGAGGATGGGAATGGCACTGGGGAGAGATGAGAATGGAAATGACACTGGTGAGAGATGAGGATGGGAAGGGCACTGGTGAGGGATGAGGATGGGAATGACACTGGGGAGAGATGAGAATGGGAATGACACTGGTGAGAGATGAGGATGGGAAGGGCACTGGTGAGGGATGAGGATGGGAATGACACTGGTGAGGGGTGAGGATGGGAATGGCACTGGAGAGAGATGAGGATGGGAATGGCACTGGAGAGAGATGAGGGTGGGAATGGCACTGGTGAGGGGTGAGGATGGGAATGGCACTGGGGAGAGACAGAATGGGAATGGCACTGGGGAGAGATGAGAATGGGAATGGCATTGGTGAGGGATGAGGATGGGAATGGCACTGGGGAGAGACAGAATGGGAATGGCACTGGGGAGAGATGAGAATGGGAATGGCATTGGTGAGGGATGAGGATGGGAATGGCACTGGTGAGAGATAATGATGGGAAGGGCACCAGTGAGGGATGAGGATGGGAATGGCACTGGTGAGGGATGAAGATGGGAAAGGCACTGGTGAGGGATGAAGATGGGAAAGGCACTGGTGAGGGATGAGGATGGGAATGGCACTGGGGAGAGATGAGAATGGGAATGGCACTGGTGAGAGATAATGATGGGAAGGGCACCAGTGAGGGATGAGGATGGGAATGGCACTGGTGAGGGATGAGGATGGGAATGGCACTGGTGAGGGATGAGGATGGGAATGGCACTGGGGAGAGATGAGGATGGGAATGGCACTGGTGAGGGATGAGGATGGGAATGGCACCGGTGAAGGATGAGGATGGGAATGGCACCGGTGAGGGATGAGGATGGGAATGACACTGGTGAGAGATGAGGATGGGAATGGCACTGGTGAGGGATGAGGATGGGAATGGCACTGGTGAGGGATGAAGATGGGAAAGGCACCGGTGAGGGATGAAGATGGGAAAGGCACTGGTGAGGGATGAGGATGGGAATGGCACTGGGGAGAGATGAGGATGGGAATGGCATTGATGAGGGATGAGGATGGGAATGTTGGTTGAGGATGCACCAGTGATGGACGGGGCTAGGACATCACCAATGAGGGCTCAGTACCCTGGCGACCCTCTCCCCACCACAGTGCCCTTCTGCCTCTGGGTACCACATTGACCCCATTATCCCCCCCATTATCCCTTACCCCAGTGCCAGCAGCGCTGACGCTGGACCCCGGCACCGCTCACCACCGCCTCATCCTGTCCGACGACTGCACCATCGTGGCTTACGGCAACCTGCACCCGCAGCCGCTGCAGGACTCCCCTCGCCGCTTCGACGTGGAGGTCTCGGTGCTGGGCTCGGAGGCTTTCGGTGCTGGGGTGCATTACTGGGAGGTGGTGGTGTCCGAGAAGACGCAGTGGATGATCGGCTTGGCGCACGAAGCCGTCACCCGCAAGGGCAGCATCCAGATCCAGCCCAGCCGCGGGTTCTACTGCATCGTGATGCACGACGGCAACCAGTACAGCGCCTGCACCGAGCCCTGGACCAGGCTCAACGTCAAGAGCAAGCTGGAGAAAGTGGGGGTGTTCCTGGACTATGATAAAGGGCTCCTCATCTTCTACAACGCCGATGACATGTCCTGGCTCTATACCTTCCGGGAGCGCTTTCCTGGCAAGCTCTGCTCCTATTTCAGCCCTGGCCAGAGCCATGCCAATGGGAAGAACGTCCAACCCCTCCGCATCAACACCGTGCGCATCTGATGTAGGGGTGTGGGTGTCCCCATTCCCAATGGGTGTTTGCCTGCTCTTTGGTGGAGGTTTCGGGCTGATCCTGCCCCAGGAACTGGTGCTGGCACTGGGTAGGATCTCCTTTCCCCCCCCCACTCCTTTGTCCTGTGCTTCCAAGGGGGAGCCCAGTGTGGGCGGGGCCTGGGCTGCTGCAATAAAGGATTTGGTGAGAAGGGGCTGGGTGATGGAGAACCCCTCCCAGGGTATCCTGTGCTATGGGTGCTGCACCATGGGGCACGTGTGTGGTGTGCCATTGGTACTGCACCGTGCCATGGGGGCGTGGCATCAGTTCTACACTGTGTATGGGGCACTATAGGTACTGCACCGTGCCATAGGTACTGCACTGTGCCGGGGGGCACTATGGCATCAGTTCTGCACCATGTATGGGGCACTATAGGTACTGCACTGTGCCATGGGGGGCCATGGGATCAGTTCTGCACTGTGTATGGGGTACTATAGGTACTGCACCATGCCATGGGGGGCCATGGCATCAGTTCTGCACTGTGTATGGGGCACTATAGGTACTGCACTGTGCCGTGGGGGGCCATGGCATCAGTTCTACACTGTGTATGGGGCACTATAGGTACTGCACTGTGCCGTGGGGGGCCATGGGATCAGTTCTACACTGTGTATGGGGCACTATAGGTACTGCACTGTGCCGTGGGGGGCCATGGGATCAGTTCTACACCGTGTATGGGGCACTATAGGTACTGCACTGTGCCATGGGGGGCTATGGCATCAATTCTGCACCGTGTATGGGGCACTATAGGTACTGCACCGTGCCATGGGGCATTGGGATGTGCCATGCCATAGGATCTGCACCATGCCATGTGTGTTCAGTGCTATAGGTGCCAGTTGGAGCTGTGGGGTGCTGGGGTGTGCCATGCCATGGGGCATTCACCATGCACTGTATGTATGGTTCACTGCACCGTAGGTACTGTGCTGTGCCATACTGTGCCACAGCCCTGGGCACACCGGGGGTCTCTTACAGGGGAGGCTGTCTGTGGGGCTGGGGTGTGTGTGGGACACAGTGGGGAGTGCTGGGCTGCCCTGCTTGGGGTTGGGTTATACGGGTTGGTGTATAGGGGAGGCTGTATGGGCGCTCTGTGGGAGGTGTGATGTACTGGGGGGCTATAGCAAGGGTGTGATCTGTAGGGGTAGGTTGGGTGGGGGGTGCTTTACCCAGGGGTGTGATCTATAGGGGGCTATATAGGGGTGTGATGCATAGGGGATGTGATGTATAAAGAGTACTTTATAGGGGGGTATGATGTACGGGATGTATGATGTCTATATAGGGGGTGGGATTGAGGGGGGTGTGATCTAGAGAGGGGCTATGGAGGGATGTGGGCTATAGGTTGGGTTGGGTATCCAGGGGTTGTGATGTATGTGATCCATAGGAGGGCTATGGGGCTATATAGAGTGCGAGGTGTATAAAGGGTACTCTATAGGGTGGGGGTCCAAACAGGGGGTGGGATGTATGGGGGGGGCTATATATAGAGTATGATATATAGGGGCTGGGGGGGGCTGTCCTCCCGGCCGCCAGGGGGCGCGTTCGCCTGTCTGGCTCAGCCGGCTGCGCATGCGCGACTGGAGCGGAGGCGGGCGGGCAGGGCCGGACACAACGGTGGCACTTCCGCGCGTGCGCGCGGAGGAGGGGGCCGCGCCGCCGCCATCTTGCCCCGGGAGCGGGCCCGCCGGTACCGGGGGGGGGTTAAGGGGTACAGTGGGGCCTGTAGGGAGCAGTGGGGTCTATAGGGGGCTGTGGGGCCTGTAGGGAGAAGTGGGGCCTATAGCGGGCAGTGGGGACTATAGGGGGCTGTGGGGCCTGTAGGGAGCAGTGGGGCCTATAGCGGGCTGTGGGGCCTGTAGGGAGCAGTGGGGCCTATAGCGGGCTGTGGGGCCTATATGGAGCAGTGGGGCCTGTAGGGGGCTGTGGGGCCTATAGGGAGCAGTGAGGCTATAGGGGGCTGTGGGGCCTGCAGGGAGCAGTGGGGCCTATAGGGAGCAGTGAGGCCTATAGGGAGCAGTGAGGCCTATATGGAGCAGTGGGGCTATAGGGGGCTGTGGGGATGGGGTCTGTGGGGCGATGGGGACGTGTGAGGTGCCATAGGAGCGTGTGGGGCTCGGGCGGTGTCACTGGTACCTGGTGTTGGAGGGGCGGTGCTGTGGGGCCCATGGGGCTGCCATGGGGGTAAGGAGCGGTTCGGGGGGGGGCTCGGTGGTGACCCCCCCCCTTCCTCTCACACCTCCAGCCATGGAGGCGGGCGCGGGCGGGCGCAAGGAGCGGCCGAAGCCGCGGGAGCCGGCGGCGCGGCTGGAGAGGGCCCGGCAGAGGGCGGCGCAGCAGGAGCTCAAGCAGCGGCAGCGGGCGGAGGTGGGTACCGACCCCCCCCTTGTGTACCCCGTGCGTGTCCCCCCCCTCTGCCTGGCTCCCCGTTGTCCCCCTCTTTGTCCCCCCTTTTTCCCCCTTCCCCCCCTTTGCCCCCCTTTGTCCTTCCCTTGTCCCTCTTTGTCTCCCCACTTTACCCCCTTGTCCCCCCCTTTGTCGCCCCCTTTGTCCCCCCCCTTGTCCCCCCTTGTCCCCCTGTTTGCCCCCCTTGTCCCCTTCTTTGTCACCCTTTGTCCCCCCTTTTCCCCCTTGATCCCCTCTTGTCCCCCCCTTTGTCCCCCTTTTTCCCCTCTTATTCCCCCCTTTGCCCCCCCTTTAGTTCCCCCCTTGTACCCCTGTTGTCCCTCCCCTTTGCCCCTCCTTTGTCCCCTGTTGTGTCCCCCCATTTGTCCCCCTTCTTGTTCCTCCATCCCCCTCTTGTTCCCCCTTGTCCCCGTTTGCCCTTCTTGTCCCCCTCTTTGTCACCCTTTGTCCCCCCTTTTCCCTCTTCACCCCTCTTGTCCCCCCCTTTGTCCCCCTTTTCCCCCCTTGTTCCCCTCTTATTATTCCCCTCCCTTTGCCCCCCCTTTTGTTTCCCCCCTTTGTACCCCTGTTGTCCCTCCCCTTTGCCCCCCTTTGTCCCCCTTTGCCCCCCCTTTGTCCCCTGTTGTCCCCCCCCTTTGCCCCCCCTCTTTGTCATCTTCCCCCCCTCTTCCCACAGATCTATGCCCTGAACCGGGTGATGACGGAGCTGGAGCAGCAGCAGTTCGACTCCTTCTGCAGGCAGATGCAGGCGTCGGGCGAGTGACCCCTGGCCCCCTCCAGCCCCGCGTTATTTATTAGCAGAGAGCCCCTTGCTTTGGGGCTTTTCCTAAATAAACCCTGTGCTGGTCCCGTCTGGCTCCGGTGCCAATGGGAATGGGGATGGGAATGGGACTGGGAAGTGCCGGAGCGGGGCTGAGTGCCAGCGCAGCTGCAGGCACCGGCTCCAGCTCCCGGTGCTGGAATCAGGACATGGGGCTGGATCCAGCTGTTGGTGCCTCCCCAGGGATCCCGGCTTGAGCTTCGCTTCCAGCCTCCTCCTCCTCCAGCTTTCCAAAGGGTTTGGATCCGTGGATCTAAACCTCGCTTCCCTCTGTCCCAATCCCACCCCACACTGAAGGGGGGGATCAAACACATTTGATGGGTAAAACCATAAACCCCAACGTGCTGCTGGTGACTTGGGTGTCAAATCCCTCTGGACGTAGCCAACGGCTTCCTCCCCTGCAGGGAAGAGTCTTCCTCGGATTTGGAGGTGTAAATCCCCCCCCTTGGGATCCATTAACAGCACACGGTGGGAGTGATCCCGAAATTTGATGTTCCCTCGCACAGGGAAGGGGTTTGGGGGTCTCTGGAGTGGGTGACAGGGGTTCCTTCGTCCCCCATATGAGGAGTGGGGCACATGGGGTGTGCTTGGGGCAGAGTTATTCCTACAGCTCCTGTTACTCCCTTTCCTAAACAGGGTTGGATATGGAGAGGAATGAAGGGAGATGCTGGTGGAGGAGGAGGAAGAGGAGGAGGAAGGCTTTAGTAGGTGTTAGGCAGGGGTTGGGCTTTGCAGCTCCAGATGGCAAAGGGGAACACGATGTAGGACATGGACCAGGCGAGGCAATAGATGGAAGCCACCGTGGCTGGCGAGAAGAGGACAGCAGCCACCCCTGTGGGTTGGGAAGAGCCGTTGGGATCAGCCCCCTTCCTCCTCCTCCATCCCAATGGGGTTTAACCCCTCTCCATGCTTCCACCCCTACCCTTACCTCCAGCATAAACCACTTTCTTCCAGAGCTGGGACTCCAGCACCTTGTCATGGGGGTAGCAACCCCGGTCCAGCATGAAGAGGATCATGATGCCAGCGGTGACCTGCAGCAGGGCGGCGTTGCCCCCGGACAGCAGGAAGGTGCCCGCCAGCAGGGAGGATGCATAGGGACAGGGCACTCCCCGGTAGGTGAAGGGGATCCCTGCCGGGTGCCATACATTGAGCCAGGGGGAGGAATCACCCCCAAACCCCTTTTTAAGCCCCCCCTCCCCATAAACATCTTACCACTGGAGAAGAAGCAGAGGCGGGTGAACACAGCCAGCACATAGGCGAGGGCCAGCGCCGCGCTCAGCACCCCCTGCGGCTGCAGCAGCAGCGCCGTGGCCAACCCGAACGTGGTGAAATCGGCAAAATCATCCAGCTTGGCACCTGCAGGCAGGGAGATGCTGGGGGAATGGGGGGGCACAGGGGGCACCCCCATAGTGCATTACCGTTATGGTGGGACCGACTCACCCAGTGCCGAGCAGGCGTTGAGGCGCCGGGCGACGGCACCGTCAGCCAGATCCAGGAGGAAGCCCACAAGCAAGAGCCAGCAGGAGTGGTGGTGCTGCCTGGGGAGGGCAGAGCCGGTGTCACCCCCCTTTCATCACCCCCTTTATCACCTCCTTTCCCCCCTTCTCTCTCCAACCCTGCTACCTGTTGAGGCTGCAGAGGATGGACGAGAGCCCGGCCACCAGGTTGGCCACCGAGAGCCCGTTGGCAGCGTTCCTCCGGATGAATTCCAGCGCCCTGCTCCGACCCCATCCCTTCCGCTCGCTCAGGAACAGCTTCTTGGTGGACTGGAAAACACCTGCGAGGCCCCGAGGCGGCGGTGACGGCCGAGCCGGCACCGCTTCCAACCAGGGACTCATCGGAGCAACCCCCCCCCGATGTACCACCTTGGTGCCCCCCCCAACCCCTTCCAACGCTTGGGAAGGGGCTGGAGGAGAGGTTTTGGGGGGTGCTGGTGGCTCCCCTCCTCCAAGCAGAGCCCCCCAAAGCTCTTTACCAAGCCCGAGGTGGGGTTTTGGCAAAGCCCTGCCTCACGCCGGCGGCGACAAGAAAACCAGGTCAATGAGTTAAAACAAGCACAGGACTGAACAGGATGGAGCGACACGAAGCCAAACCCCAGCTTAGACTAAACGCCAACCCCGGGTTTAAGCTCTATGGATCTTATATACCTATAGGCTAAGCTTTAGAGACAGAGTTTAAGGGTCATGTCCTACTAGCGGGCTTTGCCCCCTGCCTTTGCCGTGCTCCCAAAGCTGGTGAGATCCTTCATCTGAAAGAAAACAGGACGTCAGAGCAACACAAAAGCCACCCCCATCCCCTCAGCCCTCCCTGTACCCGCTCCCGGCTGAGCCCGCACCTGAGCATCACCAAAACGCCGCCAAAACCAGCTCCCAGGGGTCAAACCCCCCCCGAAACCCACCCCAAAACCCCCTCCGAACCCTTCAAACAAACCCTTCATTGCAAGGAATTCCCAGTTTTGGGAATGCCGCTGGGGCTGGAGGCTCTGTGTGCTGCTGGTGACCTTTGGACACCGCACCCGAGCTGCCGGTACGGGCAGAGCCGGACGGCTGCCGATGGAAAATCTCCCTTCCCGGCATCACAGCCTCGGCTTTCTCCAATGGGATCTGCGGCTCCAAACCTGACCCCAGCACCGGTTTCCCCCATGGTTGGGGTGATTCGGGTGGCTTTTGGGTGCCCAGAGGTGAAAAAGGGACAAAACGTGGTGGCTTTGGGGCTCGCTGTCACCATCCCTCTGCTCCCCTGCCCTGGGCAGGAGCATTCCCGGTATGGAGTAACCGGTAAGCATCACCCTGCGCGGGCATCGCCGTGGCACCCATTGCCCGCTTTGGGCTGGTTTAGCCCCAAAAGCAAGGCCGGGGGGGGGGGTGTGGGTGTGTGTTTGGGTGTCATCCTCTGCCCCACACTTCCACCAGAGCCTTTTATCCCTGTTTTTGGGGTGAAAACAGGCAGGTTTGGCTCATCCTGGGTGACACCGGGTGCGATACAGGCGTTGTGCACCCCTATGGGGTCTCACCCCTCCAGGACCGAGGGACAACAGTGCAGAATTCACCCACTTTTGGGGCTATTTCCTTGGGTTTTACCATTTCCACCCCAATTCCCAGGGCAGTGCTGGACCCATGACCCCTCGCTTGCTGCGGAAGGCCCCAAAGAGGGGCTGGGGATGCCGGGGTGTCGCGGTGGCACTTACCGACCGGCAGTGACACCATCCACATGGCTGCGGCGCTGGCAAAGGGAAACTGAGGCCGGGCCGGGAGCGGCGCTCGCCGGGATCCCGCAGTTATATAAGGAAAAGCTCCGGCGGCTGAGTCACGAGGGGGTGGGACCGGGCAGAGGACACGGGCACGGGCATGGACACGGGCACGGGCATGGGTATGGGTATGGGTATGGGTATGGGGACAGGCATGGACACGGACATGGGTATGGGTATGGGTATGGGGGCAGGCATGGACATGGACATGGGTATGGATACAGGGGGGTTCATAGGGGACTGGCACCCCCAGAAGGAGAAGCATCCGGGGGGTTGTGCGATGCTCACAGCACCCATACCATGCTGACAGCACCCATAGCAGGCTGACAGCACCCACACCATGCTCACAGCACCCATAGCAGGCTGATAGCACCCACTCCATGCTCACAGCACCCATAGCAGGCTGATAGCACCCACTCCATGCTCACAGCACCCATAGCATGCTGATAGCACCCACACCATGCTGACAGCACCCACACCATGCTCACAGCACCCACACCATGCTCATAGCACCCACACCATGCTGATAGCACCCACACCATGCTCACAGCACCCATAGCAGTGTCACTGCACCCATTCCACACCCACAGCACCTTTGCCAGCCTTGGAGCACCCTTACCAGGCTCGCTGCACCCATTCCACACCCACAGCACCCACGCCAGGCTCGCACTGCCCATGCCAGGCTCGCAGCACCCACGCCAGCCTCATAGCACCCATGCCAGGCTTGTAGCAGCCGTGCTGTATGTGTGACACCCATGACCTACCAATAGCACCCATACCAAGCTTATAGCACCCATATCACCCGCAGCACCCATACCATGTACACAGCACCCTTGACAGGCTTGTAGCACCCATACCACCCTCACAGCACCCATACCATGTACATAGCACCCATGCCAGGCTTGTACCACCCATATCACCCTCACAGCACCCATACCATGTACATAGCACCCATGACAGGCTTGTACCACCCATATCACCCTCACAGCACCCATACCATGTACATAACACCCTTGCAGCACCCATACCATGTACATAGCACCCATGACAGGCTTGTACCACCCATATCACCCTCACAGCACCCATACCATGTACATAACACCCTTGCAGCACCCATACCATGTACATAGCACCCATGACAGGCTTGTACCACCCATATCACCCTCACAGCACCCATACCATGTACATAACACCCTTGCAGCACCCATACCATGTACATAGCACCCATGACAGGCTTGTAGCACCCATACCACCCTCACAGCACCCATACCATGTACATAGCACCCTTGCAGCACCCATACCATGTACATAGCACCCATGACAGGTCTGTACCACCCATATCACCCTTGCAGCACCCATCCCATGCTCACAGCACCCATACCCTGCTTGTAGCACCCACACCCCCCCCACAGCACCCCCCCTATATCCATCCCCCCCCCTCCCCAGGGCCTCTCTCAGGCAGCACCCACACTTGTGCAAGGGTGTCACGAGTTGGGGCGGCCTCATCCAGCCCCGCGCCGAGCAAAGGGCCCGTGGGTGCTGGGTGCTGGGTGCTGGGTGCTGGGGAGACCAAAGGTCCCCAAGGCCAATAAAAGGGAACAGCAGGAATTTTCCACCCGGATCCCAATGGGAATTGCAGGGGGAGGGGGGGTTAGGGGGGGGGGTTTGGATCCAGAGCCCCCATCCCGGGGGGGTGCCGGGGTCACCGGTGAAAGGGTTCTTTGTTCCCCGGTCACGCACCGCTGGTGGCGGTTGCGAAGCGACGGTCACGGCCAGGAGGCGCCCGGAGGGGACCATCCCCCGTGGCCTCGGGGCGCCTCGGCGGGGGCTCGGCCGGTGGGGGACAGGGTGGCACTGGGCACCCGTCTCTGCAGCGTTAAAGTGCATTGGGGGGGCACCTGGGGCGTTAAGTCGCATTGGGGGCGCCAGCCCATCCCCGTGGCATCAGGGCACCTCGGGGTGCCCGTCCCCGGGGTACCTGGGTGTCTCAGGGTGCCCATCCCCGTGGCTTCAGTGCCCCGTCCCTATGGTGCCTGTGTGTTTCTGGGTGCCCATCACCGTGGCACGGTGCCTGGGTGCCGTTCGTGTGCTGCCTGAGCACCTATGGGCGCCTGTCCCTGTGGCACCTGGGTGTGTCTGGCTGCCCATCCCCGTGGTATCTGGGCGGCCTTGGGTGCCTATCCCCGTGGTGTCTGGGTGCCCATTCCCGTGACACTGGGGCGTGCCCTTGGGTGCTGTCCTCGTGGTGTCTGGGTGTCTCTGGGTGCCCATCCCCGTGGTGTCAGGGTGCTCCCTGTGCCTGCTCTGCCAGTGCCATCTGCTGGCACTCATCCTGCCCCACAGGGGGCACGCGTGTGCCAGGGCCATGGGGTCACCACCACCATGCTTGGGGCTGGATCATAGTATGGGGGGGTCAGCACCCCAATACCCCTGCACCATGGTACTGTGGTACCCTAGTGGCCTGGCATCCTGGTACCCAGCACCCTGGCACTATGGCACCCAGTGCCCTGGTACACCAACACCATGGTAGGTCAGCACCCTGGCACCATGGCACTGTGGTACCTTAGTGCCCCAGGACCATGGCACCATGCACCTTGGCACCCTGGTACCCTGGCACCCCAGCATCCTACCATGCCAGA